GGCACGAAAGGAAAAGATACTGGCCGAGGCTAAGTGGTCTCTCAGGGTAAGTGAAACCCTTAGTATGGGTAATGCTATCTCACAGAAGAAGGAGGAGGAGGCAACATTAGGCCTAGAAGGAGTAAAGGAGGACTTGGGAAGTGAGAAGGAAAAGGAATAGGTCAAGAACGCACTGAAACATGCACAGTGGAAGTTAAAACGAGGGTGAAGTTACCCCTTCTGACTCGGGTGCCCCTAATGGTCCTCAGACCCCTCCCTATTCCCCTGATTGGAGGGGAAGTATGGCACCCTAAGCGACCTGCGAGAGGTACCTGCAAGACCCGGACCCCTACCAACCTTCCATGGAGGGGCCGAGGGCTGGGGAAGTAACCTACTCGGAGGCCTGCCCTTTAAGGGAAGTGTCACCCGGAAGCCTGGACACTAGGCCACAGAATTTGCTTCCACAAGCATATCTTGTGAATCTGGCACCAGGAACTAACAGGCCCTTGGAATGGAATCCATGGGAAGCTAAGGATCTTAAAGAGCTCCACAAGGCAGAGAATAACCAGCAGGCTCAACCCACGATACCTATTACTTATGCCATGTTAGCAGGGACGAGAGAAGGGTACTCCACTGGCGTCCAACAGGCTGCAATACCTGGCCTTACCATGACCAGGTGAGGTAGGCAGGACTTGCTGCATGGTACAAAGTGAATGAAGGGCCCACTGAGTCCCCCATAGCAGAAGTGAGACAAAAACCTGGTGAGCCTCCAGCTGAGTTTGTAGACCCAGTCCAATAGAGTATTAACCGCAAGCTGCCCGCAGGGAATCTCTGAGATCAGTTTGTAAAGCTGCTGGTCTGGGAAGGGATGAATGCAGACCACCGCATGGCCTGCGCAGGATTGAGAGAGAGTTCCCTGAGCAGATGGGTGGTGGCCTCACAGGATGTGGGAACGCAACAGCACCAGTCCCAATCATTAGCTTTAGCTTTACAGGCTCAGACATCTGTAATGACTGAGGCTATTACTCAGGCGCTGGCAGCCCAGGGCCAAGGAACCCCAAGACCATCAGGGAGAGGGACTTGTTTTAAATGTGGGCAGGAGGGACACATTAAGAGGGACTTTTTACAACAATCCCCTGCCATCTGGGCTGGGGGAAGGGGGAGAAGGGGCCAAACTGCCCCCTACACCCAGCCCCAGGTGCAGGAAGGGATACCATTGGAAAAAGGATTGTAGATCCAAGTTTGATTTAGATGGGAAGCACTATCTGGGTGGAGCAGTAGCCATTGACCAAACCTAAACTGCAGAGTTTGTTTTAAATTTTCCTTGTTTTTCTGGACTATAGTAGAATGGCCTGAGTGTGGGGGCCCATGAGGATGCTCCGTGCCACATGTATGAAACTCCCAATACCCATGCTGCTCCCATGTTCTGAAGAGGATGACCTTATGAGATACTGACTTTTTTATACACCCAGGAATTAATTAAACTGCTTTGGACATTTCTAACTGTGGTGGGACTGATGTTTATTACTGTGCTAGGTGGGGATGTGAGGTAACTGGGACAGGCTCTTGGATCATGAACAAGGGCCCTCCCTATCCTTGTCTGGCGAATCTCACCCCCCAGACTTGCCTCAAACCCCCTGCGTGACCAATGCTATCCTTACCAATGTATTCCTGTTAAAATAACCTTTACAGAGGAGGGAAAAGGATAACTAACTGGGAGGTGGGTCTGCCATTAAAACAAAAAAGGGGGAATCTGTAGAGCACATGGGCAGCAAAGATGGCGCTGAGAGGGAGTTGAGTAGGCAGAGCCCAATTTGCTTTATGTTCAGAGCATAACCAGCCTGTGGAAGCTTAGGTGTATAATGGGGTGTGGCCTTGACAGTGATTGGTTCCTTTTTCTCCCCTGCCATGCCACCCGCTCTTTTTTGCTTTAAAAAGGGCTTGCTCTGGGTTAATAAATGAGTTTTCCTCTTGACTTGACTCCCTGCTGCATCTGATTGTCTCCCGGGCTGAGGGAGGCTGGGGAACGGGCGAGCAGCCGCACTTACCTTTCCTCGGACCCCATCCATCCTTCGCAGGATGAACCAAGACCCGACAGTATGTTTTTTTATTGTAAAAATGGTGTACAGAGGGCTTACAGTTACATGAACAAGGTAATGAGTACGTTTCCTATTGAGAATTGTTGCCTTCTCCTTTGTTCTTCCCCTACCATCCCTTTCCTCTCCTCCATAACTACCCCCTCCCACCCCACCTAAGTTATAAAGTTCGTTTTCAACATAGTGTTTTGTACATCTCATTGTTACAGTGGGTCAACCTGTATCCTTATTTAAGGATTTTGTTTCTTCCCTTCCCCTTCCGGAATTAGAGAAGTGTATATACAAGATGCCGGACATTGACATCATACATATGACCATATAAGATGATGTTAAGCAAAATGAACCCCAAGATAGGGGCACAGATATCTTTTTTATTTCTTGCTATTGTTTCTAATGTATTTATAATGTACCATGTGAATTTCTTTTGTTGCTTTGTATGTTCCACCCCCATAGTATAACCCCTATTTTCACTGTATTTTATGTTGGTGTCCTCTATCACTTTTATAGTTTCTGGTTTTATACAAAGATCTTTCATCCATCTCAGGTTGATTTTTTTATAGGATGAGAAATAGACATCCAGTTTCAGTCTTCTATATGTGTACATACAATTTTCTCAGCATCATTTGTTGAACACTCCCATTCCTATAATGTAAGTTTTGAGCATCTTTGTCAAAAATTAAGACTGTATCTGTACAGAATTTTATCAGGTTCCTCTCTGCTACTCCATTGTTCTGTTTCTATGCCAGTACCATTGCTATCTTCACAACTATGATTCTGTAATACAATTTGAAGCCTGGGTTTATGCTTGCCAAAGAGATGTTCTATCAGTTGAGCCATGTGACCCTTGCCCCAAAATATTGTTGTTATACATACAAGCTGTGATAATCTGACCAGTTGAAGAAACTAGTATGGTAATTGTCATGAGTATTTACTCTTCAGTACTACATGATTGTGTACATATTAAGCAATTCATAGGTATATAACCATAACTTTGTTCTTTTCTCTACTTGGAGATTATGTGTGGCTTAACTGGGCAAAGGGGTGGACTTACGATGGTGAATTTTAGGTGTCAACTTGACTAGATTAATAGATAACCAGATAGTTGGCAAAGCACTAATTATTCCCAAAGTTTATTACACAGAGTGCCAATTCATCAAAGGTAATTTGGCATTTGATTAGAATGATAAGGCTGCCAAGGTGTGCCAGGCATATCCCTGAGGGTGTTTCCAGAGGACTGGCCTGTTACTAAGTGGTCTTAATGAGAAAGATCCACCCTCTGTGGGGCAGGCACCATCCAATGGGGGCACAAACAGAATAAAAAGGCAGGGATAAAGCTATTTTCTCCCAATCCCCCATCTCTCTCTTCTAGACCTGGGACACTCTGCTGCTACCAGACATCAGAGCTCCAGGATCTCTACCCCTTGGGCTCCAGGACTTGCACAAGTGACTCCTATTTTTCCAATCCTTGGCCTCAAACAGAGATTTACACCATCAACTTCCCAGATCTGAGGCCTTCAGATCCAGACTGAACCACACTATCAGCATTATAGGACCCCAGGCTTGCACACAACCTGTGGTAGGACTTTTCAGCTACTACAATTATGTGAGTCAATTCTTGTGATAAGTCTCTTATATATCTATACCTATTTCTATATCTGTATTTGTTCATATGTATATATTGATAACCTATTCATCCACCCTAGAGAGCTCTGACTAATACGGTAGGAAGGAATTTAACACTTTGAAATGATTTTGCAGTACATTATCAGTGCAGATTCCTCATAAGATTTGTGAAGGAGAATTCTTTCTTCACTTGTGAGCCCAAATGGGACACTGAGATCGTTTTCCTTCAAGAGTGATTGACAGCAGTTTTGTGGAAAGTTTGACTCTTATCTTTAACAATCATGTGTTTCAGATACAATGGGTAGGTCCTTCTTTGTAAAGATCTTATTCTAGGATTTGAAAAAATAACCACAGAGTCACTCCAAGCTTTTTGGTGGTTAATTGGAGTTAAGTGTTTCAGGGACTTTCCTGACCAGGGTGGTTTGAACTGTGGTCCTCATATCTCAGCCTCCTGAGTATGACCCACCAGTGCCTGTATATAATTATTTTTAAAACTGAATTATAAGACAATATAAAAATTCTGGGATATTTCTAGTAAAGAACTTTTGGCTGCCTTGGAAATTCATGAAAACTTGTTCTAATTAAATGAGGCAACTTTTTCATGATCCTTATTAAATGACCACAACTTTGTTCTATATGTACACAATTATCCCGGGCTATCAGTGATTCAAGCCCAGATTCCAGGACCCTCACATAAACAGAATGTCGTATACTTTATATGTCATACATTTTATGGAATGTCACATACTTTATATAAAATTGTTTAATATTTGCATATAATCTATTTGATCCTCCAATATACTTTCAATCATATCTGGATTGTTTATAGAAGTTAATGTAATACAACTACCAGATCAATGGTTATATACTATATCTTTTGGAAAACAGTTACAAGAAAAAAAATCTGCACATATTAAATACAGATGCAGTTTTTCTTTTAATATTTTTAACCTGTAGTTGGTTGAATCTGTGGAAGCACAGCTCAAGTATATAGAAAGCCAATTGTGTGTATTTTGTACACACATTTAATATGTTCACATACAGATATATAGAATACTAACTGTATATCTAGTTGTATAAAAAATATGTATTTGTGTGTATTGTACATACATATATATGATGTAAATATTTGTGAGTATGTATGTATATATATAAACATAAGTTAACATAGCTATAACAGAAGCAAACAAACTTCTATCAAAACAAATGATAAGGATGCTAAAAGGAGACACTGATAAGGAAATTAACCTTAATTTTCTTCCTTGAGCAAAACTAAAAGAATTCTTCTTTATTCAAGAAAACATGAGTGTAAAAAAAGTTGCAGTGATTGGCGCTGGGGTCAGCGGATTAGGTGCCATTAAGAGCTGCTTGGAGGAGGGACTTGAACCTATATGTTTTGAAAAGAGCAATGACATTGGAGGGCTGTGGAGATATGAGGTAATTTTACAAGTATTCTCCTAGAGTTACAATACTATTGCTATGTAATAAGAAACAGAACTCTGATATTCAAACTGTTTATTCCTTAAATATTCTTTCCAAGTAGTAGTTATCTTGTAGACAGATAAACTGAAAACTTTTCAAGTACTTTCAGAATCCTATTCTCTTTCATTTCCCTAACACCAGCTGCCAGTTATATGGATGATAAAGCTAAAATTTAGAAACTATGTGTACTTATGCTTCTACCAGACTTGGTAAAGGACCCAAGAACTCCTAAATATTGGTTCTGACATTTTACTCAATGTTTAACATACAGGATTGCCTTGTACATTGCTTTGTGATATCAGACACTCAAAAAATTATCACTACTAAGGAAGATGTGTATTTATGATTATAAATATAGTCATGTAGAAATAAAAGGGAAGGATTTATATCATGAACAGTGTCTTTTTCAGATTTCTACCACAGTGACAAAATGCCTAAGAGATATCAATAAATAGAAGGAAAGGTTTATTTAGGATTATGATTCAAAGGTTTCAATCTATGGACACTTGGTCCTCTGGCTTTGTTTCAGTAACAACCCACTATAGCACGGTGGGAGAGGAAGCCTGAGCAGTTTTGTTCACCTCATGGCAGCTGTGAATCAAAGAGGACAAGAACAGACTGGAGTTCCAATTGCCCGTAAAGAGCAGGCCTCCTGCAATCTGACTCCTTTACATCAACATCAGATTTTAGAAGTGCTTCTACCTACAAATAGGGTGCATGTTTTACAGCATCATCACAAGATGAGGAACAAGCTGTAATACATGAACCTTCAGGAGAATTTCTATATACAAGCTTTTGTATCTGGAGAATTTCCAGATCAAAAGTATTATTCTAGCTAGACAGAAGGAAGTAAATACAATCATAATGATACCATGTGGCTGAGGATGTAGTTTAGTGATGGAATACCTGAAGAGAACACATGTATACATTTGATCCTCAGCAATGCAAAATATTACTACTAATAATAAAAATGTCTTTATAAACTGTTTTTTTTAAAATTCACTTGTTCTCTTAAATACTTGTCAAAATATTTATTTTTGTCTATCCTCTAAATTGTTAAAATAACTCACATGTCTAGGTTTTTTGTTCCAAATCATATAACTTTTTTTCTTCTCTTAAGCCAAATACCTTTCATTGTGATTCTGATATTGCTCCTTGAAATGATCTTTTTCCAACACTTTTTGTGTTAGTTTTAATTTTATTTATTTTGGTTTTGTTTGTGATGTTTGTAGTATCTACAACAATTTTTCTTATTGTGATACAATTACTGCTATCATTTTGGGACCATCCCTATGAACACAATTCCCAGAGATCCTTCTTTATGAAAGCAAGTCTCATGTTTCTGTTCTGTTGAGCCATATTATAGACACTAGACATAAAACATGACTTTTTAATGACAAATACATATAAAATTGAAAATCTGTTCAACTCTACCACACTCTTTGTTGTATTCCTGGATCCCAAAAGCATGGGGTTGGTTTGTTTCTTTTAGGAAACACCTCAAAGTGGAAGTCCTGGTATATATAAATCTTTGACCTGCAACACCTCCAAGGAGATGACAGCCTTCAGTGACTACCCTATGCCTGATCATTATCCCAACTATTTGCACCATTCTAAAATGATGGAGTATCTCAGATTGTATGCCAGTCATTTTGAACTTACAGAACACATCCAGTTCCAGGTACAGTGTAAAAATTCTACTTACTACCTGTACATCAGTAAAGACAAAGTTTATACAACCAGAACAAGTTGAGGCATGATTTCAATTTGCATTTCTCACCACAATTCCAAAAAAAATCATGATTTCTCCACTTTGGTGATTAGTGAAAATTTGTCTTGTCCCCCACTCCAGAGGAGCATTGACACAGGGTTCAAACCTAAAGCCTACTCTTGAATTAATTTTGCTAATTAAGAATACTTATTGGGGCTGGGAAGGTGGCTGAGTGGTAGAGTGCTTGTCTTACATGCATGAGGCCCTGGATTCCATTCCTCAGCACCACATAAGCAGAAAAAGCTGGAAGTGGCACTGTGGCTCAAGTGGTAGAGCACTAGCCTTGAGCTGAAGAGCTGAGAGACAGTGCCCAGGCCCAGAGTTCAGGCTTCACGACTGGCCAAAAAAAAAAAAAAAAGAATACAGGTTGAAAGAAAGAAAACGTATTATCTTCAAAAGTACCTTGATCCTTGGAAAAGGATAACTTTAGGAAGTTTATATGTACAAAAATCCCAAAAAATATGAATAGGGAAGTTGTAACATACTTCATTTATGTAAACACAGAGCTGTGGGGTAAAAATGGAATCCTGGGAAAAACAATGCACTAGAAGTAACAGCACTTCTGTTCCTTGGTTCTCAGACAAAGGTGTGCAGTGTGAGGAAACGTCCTGACTTTTCATCCTCTGGCCAATGGGATGTTGTGGTAGAAGCTGATGGGAAACAGAAAACTTACATTTTTGATGGAGTCATGATCTGCATTGGCCAATACTCTGAAAAATATTTGCCTTTACAAGATTTTCCAGGTATTTAACTGATGTGTATGTAGGAAAAACATTTTGATTCTCAGAATCCTAATAGTTCTGATTTCATAAGCATTTGACACCGTGTTTATAAGTCACAGTGGTGTTACTGAAAAAGGCATAACTTTTTGAAACATTCAGGAACAATCTGATATAGCAAATCATACTGGCAAGCATCACCTGGGAATAGGCTTTCCAGAAAAATGAAGCAGTCTTTGAGAAGCAGCAGACAGTAAAAAAGCTGAGATACCTCAGGGAATAGCATACATTTGATGTGTCTGGAGCAGATGGGTAGACAAGTACATAAGAGTCAAGGAAAACCCATAATTATAAGTGTATTTTGCAGAAAGAAGATACACCATGATATTTGTATTTCATAGGGACCAATTTTGTGGTGGAACAGAACATTAGTAAATAAGGACACTGAAACATAGCAGGGAATTTATTAATAAAGGTCTTTTAAACAGTCCATTAAATAGACAGTGGTGGAATGTTGAAGCAATGGTAGTAGAACTCAAGAGAAGAGGGTAAAATTTCAGGAGATGTTTCAGAAGTTGTGAAAATACTAAATGAGTGAAAAATATAACAAGATAATGTTAGCCATTATACCATACTTAAGAGTATTTTTTAAATACAAGTTGATTTTTTTCTTCAAGTTGCTTAAAAACTTATAATCACTGAGATTTGACTCATTCAGTCAAGCAGCCATTAGCCAAGTCTCACTACTGATAATTTGAAATGTGACTAATACTGAGACATGCTTTCAATATAAAATAAATACTAGACTGTGAAGATATAATAAATATACAAAATATCTCACAGATAGCTTTGTTTTTTATAATATGTCAACATTTTAGATTATAGTATACTAAAATAAACTATAAAAATCAGTATGTTTTAATACATTTTCAAATTTAAAGTTGCATGTGTGGTTTGCTTTTAATTTCTTTGGTGTAATATGACTCTACATTGCTTAGAACTTTTACATATTTTTGAATTCCTTCACAAAATAACAAAAACTAGAAAAGGGATTTTATATATGAGTCAATAATAAGAGAAAAGGAAATAATCATCAGTGGTAATATACATAATCATATTGAGCAAATTTAAGATTGGACATTTTAAAATTATATTACTATTTGATTTTGTCTTAGCATACTTCTTTTTACCATTGTTTTTTTTTTCTTTTACACAATCTCTTTCTGTAACATTGGCAATAACTGTACCACAAGACAGGAGATTTAAGTCACATGTATTTCAGGTTCAAATATAAAAGTTGACAACAGCTTATCCCACTTCTCTTAGTGATTTGAGGGCTTTGGATCTTTCTTCACAGGGATCAACAAGTTCAGAGGCAAATACCTCCACAGTTGGGACTACAAGCACCCATATGATTTTGTGGGGAAGAGAGTGGTTGTGATTGGCATTGGGAATTCTGGAGCTGATGTAGCTGGGGAGATCAGTCGTGTTGCTGAGCAGGTTTGGCGTTATATACTGATTCTGTTCTTGGGTGTAAGCTTCACATCTGGAGAGTATGGGCCATGGGATCTAGACTTTCAGTGAAGCTTCAACAGTAGTATCTATTTTGACTACTAGCTCAACAAGGAAATGGCACATGTTTTATTCTGACTCTATAAGAGTGAAAAAACACAGAAAACCAGAATAATAATATCTTTCTATGCCATAACACATTCCAGCCATGATTGGAGAGCAAGCAAATTATAGCCAGATAGTTTAGAATTAGCCAGAATATGGTCAAAATATTTTTGTGCATGAGTGAAAATGAAACAATGAAGTTTGTTGAGACTGGTTTGAGAAGGGAGGAAGAGGATATGGAAAATTGATGGTATGGTGAGTCTCACCAACGTAGGCATTTCAAAATGATACCCCTTTGTAGACCTAATCAATGCTAATTTGAAACACAGATGAAAGAAGAATTATCCAGACATTAATATACTAGAAAAAACTCAAATGAAATGAATTTTACAAAAAAAAAGAATTAGTGTTGGAATAAAATTGAAGCAGAGAACAATATACATAAGCATTAGTAAAATTGTAGTGTTGATCTATTGAATGAGTGGCAGAAATTTTGTGTGTGCTCCCATTGATGGTGAAGAAAATAAAAAGCAGGAAAAGAAAAGGCATTTTATCTCTGCAGTGAAGAACATGGAGGTATTATTTCCATGATTAAGAATTAAGATTTGGTTTTGATTCAGCATTTCCAGCAAGAGAAACAAGATTTCCAATACCCAGTGTTTTCTATATGAGTAGTGTACAATCAACCACTGTGAGGGCCCCCTACCTATATTAAGCTTTCTGAACTAGAAATACTGTTATATGTCACAAATTTTTGTGATTTTAACTTCATAAGTTAATGAGGTTGTATTTTAATTATAGGATTTCTTCAAACTCTCAGCTTAATAACTGAAAATAAGTAGAAAAATACTCCTCAGAATATATTTTTTCCATTCACTTTACACTTTGTATACTGGATATTTTATTTGATATGTGAAAATTGCCAGAACAAATCTTCTATCTTTATGTTTATATTTAGATTTTTCTTTTTATCTTGAAACATCTCTATCATTCATAAATTAAGATCAAAAGAGCTGACAGAAAAGTTGAATACTAGCTTATAACTCCTAACATAGTAACCTATTTATGTCAACTTTTTTTCACATGCTGGGACATAAGAGATGACAGACTGGCAGTGCAGACATTATGATGGAAGTAGGTATAACAAAAGAAAATGAAGTGAAAGGATTTTAAGCAACTAGACCAATAGGGAGGGTGAGTTGAGGTGAGAACATTCCCATGATAATTTTGGGAATATTCTGACAATATGAGATCAGGATGAGAAAAAAAATAGTTACTCAACAGCAACTCCTGTCTGGTAGGTTTTCCTCAGCACGAGACAAGGTGCATGGATATGGACCCGGGTCTGGGATAATGGAAATCCCATGGATGCAGCACTCTTCACTCGCTATAACAGAGCCGTCCAAAAATTCTCCCCCACATTCCTGATCAACAGATGGACAGAGAATAAATTAAATAGAAGGTTTAACCATTCCAACTATGGACTACAGGCTAAACACAGGTAAGGTCAAGTAAACAATATGTTTAAGCTATAGCATTAGTCAGCAGACTCTGTGTGCTATTTGTAAGAAATAAAGAGTATAATTTAATCCTTGATAGAATTTATTCTAATGGGGAATATTCAAGGAGGTTGTGGTCATTTTAATAAAGTATAAGAAAAAAATAAAGTTCTGAGGCATGAGGTAATAGATATATATCATTTGAGACTCATGCCATCTAGCTGTGCCGGCCTCTACTATCTCTTTCACTTTAGCCTGTCAAACACTTTTATATTTACCCTCAAACTTACCACCAATGACGACGTTTCCATATCTATATCTACAAATAGATATAGATCTATAGATAGATATCTATATCTATGTCTATCTATCTGTAAAGGTAAAGGTATCTATAGAGATATAGACAGACCGACTGACAGACCAACAGACAGACAGACAGATAGATAGATAGATAGATATGTATCTATAGAAGGATAGATAGATACAAAGATAACTACTCAATACTCACACAATATACTCCAATTGGCAGTAAGCAATGGCTTACTGCTTTACTCCAGTTGTACCTTCCCCATCCACCACCATACTACAGCTTACCACCCAGAACTGCAGTGACTCTAGATGTTATTCCAGGAGCCATTCCATAATTGCAACTTTATTCTCTCACCCATCTCACTCCAGTAAGCATTCTAGCTTTCTAGCATTCCACTTTTCTCATTCTAACTCTCCCTTTGTTGGTGCTGCAGACTCTGTGGTCATTCTTCTATTTTTCTATTTTTGGTCTGTCCTCCCCATCTAACACTTTATTCAAGTATATTCTTGGCCTTCTCTCCTTTTCACCTTATAGAGGGCTCTCTGTATTAACATTGTAAAAATCTAGGCAAAAAGTAAAATTAAATATTTAAATTGGTATAAAGGCAAAAAATAAAAGATTACTAAAGAAGCGCTACATGTGTTTTTCTACGTGTATTGGTGTCTGGAAAAATACATATAGAGCTTCATGACTCATGTAGTGTGTGACTATCTCATACAGGGAGAAAGTATTCAGAAGATGAAATATTTACTTATTTAATTGTGTTGTAGACCAGAAAAATATTACTTCTGCATGAATTCATAACTCAAGCTGTAAATGCAGTATCAAAGTTCTTTATTGCAATGAAAACATTTTTTCCATTGAAGATTTGTTCTTAAAAAGCTGCAGTTATAAGTGAGACTGAACGAGGATATTCTTAGGAGAGGATCATAGGCACAATAGCTGTGCAAATCTAACCATACAAAATAATATCTATTGAAATAAACTCTGGGAAGTGGAACAAGATTTTTTTTCTTTAATGCTATGTTTGTTTCATTTCCTTTTGTCTTGTTTGTGAGTTTATCAGTCTTGGGGAAGTAAGCGGGGGCACAGAAATGGAGGGACACAAGGTGAACAAATGCAGCAGTGATACTCGGTACTTATGTTAGAAATGAAGTATACAACTTGTGCTGCGGACAGGAGGAAAAGACAGAGAGAGCAAGGGAAGGGTTGACATTGTTCAAAAAGAAATGCAGTCTTCATCTGATTAATGTAATCATAATCCCTGTGTATATCACCTTTTCAATAACAATAAACAAAAAAAGCTGCAGTTACATCTTATAGAACCTTGAAAAATGTTAATGACTAAATCAGGTCAAACTTACATGCAAAATATCAACTTACTTTATATATATATATATACATACATACATACATACATACATGCATACATACATACATGCATACATACATACATACATATAGCCAGGCACTACTAGCAGCTCTTGCCTATAATCCCAACTTTGAAATATTTAAGAGGTTCAGATCTGAGAATCACAGTTGGAAGCCAGATAGGGACAAACCTAAGACACTTACCGTCAATTAACAAGCAAAAGAACCAGATGTGGAGATGTTGCTTAAGTGGTAGAGTATCAGCCACAAGTATAAAGAGATAAGTGAGAGTGCAAAGCCCCAATACAGTGCATGCACACATGCAGATGCACAACACATTTAATAATGAAATTTTTAAGTAATGTGTATTATTACCTGATCAGCATAACATGATCTGATAATTATAATGCAATATACTAATAATTAAGTATAATTAATGCATTGATTCACCAGATTGTTGTTCCATCCTTATTATACTTCAGAATAGGAAATGAAGGCTAAAGTGTTTCTTGACTTGTCCAAGGTCCCAAAGCTATAAACCCAGTACCAGTAGTGAGACCCAGTTTTGACTCTAAAATCGTCCTTAACCAATAAACTGAATTGATCTCAGTGAATACTGATAAAAGTATTAAATTTGCAGAACACTATGGTAGCTTCCTGACCATTTACCTACCACAACTACCTCATACTTAGTTTTTTATATTATACTTATTTTCATTCAGATTTCTCATCCTTCCGTCTACTCTCAGTGATGACCTGCCAAGTCACATAATCACTGGACGAGTGCTGATAAAACCAAATGTGAAGGAGTTCATTGAGACATCAGTCATCTTTGAGGATGGAACCAAAGAGAACATTGATGCTGTTGTGTTTGCCACAGGCTACACCTTGTCTTTCCCTTTCTTGGAGGATGAAGCAATACTAGACAGCCAGCACACCCTTTTTAAGTCTGTCTTCCCCCCTCAGCTAGAGAAGCCAACACTAGCTTTCATTGGCCTCCTCCAACCAGTGGGAGCTATCATCCCCACATCAGAACTGCAGAGCCGATGGGTTGTGCAAGTATTTGCAGGTATGTGCTGGTCTTCTTATGAGCAAAATAGGTTTCTAATTATATACTCAGATGACAAGAGCATGCAGAGGTCTTCTATTCCTATTCTTCAATTCCTATTCCTATTCACCATTAGAATTGATTACTTGAAGGCTTTGTAAAATTTTGTTGCTAATTTCTTTGAGAAACCTATTTAAACAAAAGAATCCAAGGAGTGAACATTAGAAGCCTTGAGATTAAAATCAGGTTACATTTCAGAATTGGTTATCCATTCATGCAGTTCTTCTAGCAGAAAGATTATTTATGGTAGGCTGCATGGGAAAAGAAATTGGTCAGGAAGTGACGCTGTGGCTCAAGTGGTAGAGCGCTTGCCTTGAGCTGAAGAGTGCAGGGACAGCACCCAAGCCCAGAGTTCAAGCCCCACGACCAACAAAAAAAAAGAAAAAAAGAAAAGAAAAGAAATTGGTCAAAGTATGAAAGCAAATTAGGGAAAACCTACCTGTATCCATATTAAGGAAGGTAATTGCTTGCTCTCTGTCCAATTCCAAGTATTTGACTTAGACTCTTGACTTACTTCCCAAATACTTGCCCAAATAGATGCTTCTGAGCAAGACAAAATTATACCAGAAAGAAGCAGGTTCAAATTGGCAGAGTTGTCTTATTATTTCTGAGAACTAGAATAAATTGAATCAAATAGAGCCCATTTCTTTGTGGGTGTATATGAACACATTTCAATATTACTCAACCAGAAAGAGTCCTGTCATTTTGGGAACATGGATGATCATGGAGTCTAATGTATTGAATTATGAAAATCAGACACAGAAAGGCAGATATCAGATCCTTCTCATAAAACATTGATTAAAATATTGATTTCCTTGAAATTGATAATGATATTAGATTGGAATGGCCACTTAAAGATAGCAAGGAACTGCCTCAACATCAACCCAGATTTTATTCAGGTAAGAAAACTTTTAGAGGGTCTCCAGCAGAAGCTAGAGCCCACTTGTTCTTATAGATTCAGTACATTTATGGCTGATCATTGGGAGTGGGGTAACATGACAGAGCTGTTCAGATTGAGAACATTTTTTGTGGTTTTGATATATGATGGACTGCTAATGAGTGTTAAAGCTGCATCTCTTGGCCAGGCCAGGTAGTATAAGCCAATAATGGCTGTGAAGACTAAAGGAGAAAGGGCTAAGGTAGTGGAATTAACTAAGTAAATGCTGACCAGGCAACTCTAACAAAGAGAATAGTGCTAATGGAGAATGGCGAACTGGAGAAAGCAGAGAAAGGAAGAAGTTGGTCAATGGGGAAATGTCCCAGTCAGACAAAAGGAATTTATGGCCCAACAGAGTGAGTATATTTAACAATAATGCATTATATATCTCAAAAAAGTTAAAGAACAGGCTTCTGAATGTACTATGTTAAAAGCTTGAAGTGATAGTTATGTTAATTACCCACCATTGATTATTACCTCATATATACCTGAGTGTGGATTTAACCTGACTGTAGATTAAACCTGAGAAACAACTTCAATAAAAAGCTGATTCTTCCTGATGACTTGCCAATGATAGAAAAAATATACTTTGTGAAATATTTTTATACAGGGTTTTGATTATGAGTTATAAAATAACTTGATTAAGATAGCCATTTTCTTCCTTTTTATTATCTCTAAGTAGCTATATAAAGGGGTTTGAATTCAACATGTAAATTTATGTGCACTCTGGGCGTAGGCACTGTCCCTCAGCTCTTCAGCTCAAGGCTAGCACCCTACCACTTAAGCCACAGCACCACTTCTGGCTTTTTCCTGTTTATGTGGTGCTGAGGAATTGAACCCAGGGCCTCATGCATGCAAGGCAAGCACCACTGAGTCACCTTCCCAACCCAACCCAATCATCTTGATCAATGTCATTCCTTTCATAATTCTCCTCTATCTCTCTCAACTCTACCCATTTTCTGTTTATTCATTTCCCTCAGCCCTCTTGACAGTATTGAATTTCTATCTCTTTTTCTCAGGACTGAAAAAATTGCCCTCAGAAAGTGGCATGATGGCTGACATCAACAGAAGAAAATGGAAAATAGCAAAACAGTAAGAAACCTAAATCTAGACAGAACTTTCAGTATCTCTCAATATGTAGTATGTGCCTATCTAAATGTAATGGGATAATTTTAGTTCACTGATAGTTTAGTAAACATTAGCATGGTAAGCAGTTTTACCTATGTAACAATATACAACTACTATATGTATAAAACTGTCTGGATGTGAAATGTAAGTCTCTTTTGCTCACTGTCCATAGTATGTCAGATCTATGATGTGAGCAGTCTGCAAAGTATGAACTTGCAAACTACACAAGAAAGTAGTTAAATTCAGAATTAAAAGAAAAGAAATATTTTCAGGTCTAATCGAGAATTACTCGAAGGTGGGCACCATTGGCTCATACCTACAATCCTAACTACTTAAGAGGTTAACATCTAGAGGTGTGAAGCCAGCCCACAGAGGAATTTGCAAGACTCTCTCACTAAAATACCAGCCAAAAGCCTGACCGGAGGTGTGGCTCAGATCATATATCACCAGCAGACAAAGCAAGCAATTTCAAACCCTTGCATCAGTATCCCACCTCAAAAAAAAGAATCAAAGAAAGAAAAAGAGAAAACAGAAAAGATGAAAGAGTGTCTTAATGTGGTACATGCCTCTGATAGCAGCTACTCAGGAGGTGCAGATAAGAAAGTTGCTATCAGAGATGAAATTGCAAGACCTCACATTAAAAAAATATTTATATTACCAAAAAACATAGTAAAAGCAAAGGCACTATACTACAAAATACATACATATAGATAGATAGCTATGACTGGCTTAAGAAGATGAATATTTATTTCCGTTTCTTAAACATTTATTCTGCGCATTTTAATAAACTTTCATTCCAGGCCATGCTTAGAGAATCTTTGGAAGAAAGGAAGAGTTGTCTTATTATAACTTCATATCTATTTTCACAATACAAATGGGTAAACTAGATGTGATGTGAAATATGATTGGTGATGTTTGTGATATATGCGTATACTACAGTTTATTTTTCATTTATATTTTGTTAATAATATAAGTAGATTTTCCCATTCTATTTTCTGCAAATGATTTATCTTCAAATAACTGCACAAAAGGAATTGCCATTTAACAAAGCAGTTTATGAATACAATGCATCTTGATTAGTGTCACCCCTTTCAACTTCAATCCACTCCTTCCTTTACTTTTCTTAATTTTGTAGCATATAAAATGATTTTTGTTTTTGTCGGTCATGTGGCTTGAACTCTGGGCCTGGAAACTATCCCTTAGCTCTTCAGTTCAAGGAGAGTGCTCCTTCACTTGAGCCACAGCACCTCTTCCAGTTTTCTGTTGGTTACTTGGAGATAAGAGTCTCACAAATATTTCTGCCCAGGCTGGCTTTGAAACGTGCTCCTCAGATCTCAGCCTCCTGAGTAGATAAGATTACAGCATGAGCCCTGGGTGCTTGGCTTATACAATGAATTTTTGACTGCATTCTCCACCTCTACTAGCCTTCTCAACTCATCTACTTCTTTCCTATTGGTCACACCCCCTCTTGCATGTACTCATTTCCTGGTGCTTACTTTGTTAAGCTTTGACTTTGTCTTTCTAAGGAATTACATTATTTGAGTTCTCCCTAGAGTTTACCATATTTTAGTTAATACATTTGTAATCACTTGCATGCCACCCAAAGTGTTTAATGTATATATTTATAGGCAAGTTTTAGCTACCATGCAACCTTTGTTTCTCTGGGTCTCATTTACTTCATTTAATATAATTTTTCCCAAGTCTTAATATTTCCTTATTAATGGTAGAATATCATTTTTTCGAATGGATGAATAAAATTCTATCATGTGGTATTCATATGTGATATATCATATTTTCTTTTCTTAACCATCTATTTTCTAATTGAATACTTTTTATATCTAGAAGTTATTCCTTTACAGATATTTATTTTATAAATAAATTTTGCTTTACCCATCACTGATATTTATTTGCCATCTTAGATTTGATTGACAATCTAAATAGGTATAATTGGAATTCTTTCTTTCCTATATTTATGTCTTTTTATTTAAATATTTATTACCTTTAAGTAATTGTACTAAGGACTTGCCATTTAACAAAGCAGTTTATGAATACAATATATTTTGATCAATGTCACTCCTTTCAACATTATCACGCATCCTTCCACTACCCACTGCTTCCCTCATTTTTCTAAATTTTATAGGATATACATTTGGATTTGGGGGTGTCATTATCTTAGCTGTGACTTACAGGATGATCTTAGATAACATAAACAACAGATATTCTTATTCTGGTTCTGATTCTCTTGAAATCATATCCAGTGTACACCTTTAATTATAATATTGCCCACTTAATTTGCGAACTGGATCCTTTTATTCACACTTACTGCAAAAAGTTTGATGGTGAATTTCATTAAAGACTGTCTACATTCAAAACTCACAAAGATTTTCACCACTGAGGTGTTGATGCCATGAACTACAGTAATGTATGTCCTAATATTAGAATAGCAACCTTTTGGTTATTGCCTGTGATTATTTTAAAATACAATTGATAATATTGTGTTTATAGTTTATACAATTTTAGTATATTCATAGAACCAATTGGCTTATAATTTTCCCTTTCTTTCTCCCCAACATTTTTTCCTATGTTGTTTATGCAGTGTTATTAAGCCTATATCATCCTCACAAAACGATTAGAAAATATTTAATGATTTCATCTAATTAAACACAACTTACACAGATTTAAATAGAAAAAAAGACTCATGTTATTTAAAATTTTTGAAATAATTAATACAGAGCCCAGCATATATTTTAGGGAATAATTCAGGTCAAATTTTTCATTGTTTACATTTCCATTGATCTAGTTGCACTCGTCTATTTTTCTATAAAAGATAAAAACATTTCATTAAAAAATTACCATTTCTTCTGATTTGGGAAATTTTGAGCATGTAATAATGTGTAATATTTTCTCTTTTTATTAACATCTTTTGTTATATAAGAAATGTTTTTTTTTTAATTTGCAAGTAGCCACAGTTAGTATTTGTCAATTCCTATTTTTTCTTGATTTTGTGCATTTAGTCTTTTACTGTAATGTTATATACCTGCCTCCCTTTGCCTTTTTTGGTGTTTCTTTCTAATCTCTTCATTTGGCTACCTGACTTATTCATCTTTCATAATGATCCACAATTTCTTCCCCCCAATGTTTTTTTGGACGGTCGGTCGTGGGGCTTGAACTTTAGGCTTGGGCACTGTCACTGCGCTCTTCAGCTCAAGGGGAGCACTCTACCGCTTGAGTTACAGCTCCACTTCCGGTTTTCTAGTGCTTTATTGGGGATAAGAGTCTCATGGACTTTCCTGCTTGGGCTGGCTGATCCTCAGATCTCAGCCTCCTGAGTAGGTAGGGTTACAGGCATGAGCCACCGCGCCCGGCTTCCTCTCAAAATTTTGACAAGTTTATTGTTATTGTAAAGATGATGTACAGAGGGGTTACAGTTACCTAAGTCAGGTAATGAGTGCATTTCTTTTGAAGAGTGTCACCTTTTCTGTCATTTTCTCTCAGTTTTTAAACCTCCTGACCCTCTTTCCACACAAGTTGTATAGTTCATTTTCAACAGTGTCTAGTGAGTATTGCTGCTGCATTTGTTAAAAGTAGTCTTTAGTTCTAGTTTTACTTTCTTTTACCAAATAATTATTTAGCCGTGTTTTAATTAAATGTGGAACATATTATGCCAATAGATTACATCCATGTAGTTATGCCATATAGTTTATAACCAAAATTAATACATGAAAAGATATTTCATATAGCTTGAAAGCATGAAATGAGAAAGCTATTTTTACACTGTTCTATATAGCAGATCTTCCTTGCTAATCAAATTTAGATAGTAAATTCTGTGTCTGAAAGAGGGATCAACATCCCAGGTTTTCCATTTATTCATTTACTCAACATTTTTATTATACCTCTTACTCTGCTAAAGACTTTGGGACATTTAATCATGTCAGTGTTACATGTCTTGTGTTTAAAGACTGTAGTATACTAAGAAAGTCCTATCTGTATGTCTGTGTGGAATCAAGATAATTTTTAAGTTGAGGATAATGAACTGAGTAAACAAAACAACTTTAGGAAACAATAACAACAGAACTCTGATAGAGTTTCTAACATTTTTTTTCTTATTCTAGGTTTGTGAAAAGCCCAAGAGTTTCACATCGAGTACAATATATTGACTACATGGATGAAATTGCTTCTGAGATAGGAGTCAAGCCTAATCTGTTCTCTCTCCTTCTCTGGGATCCAAAGCTAGCCATAGAGATGTTCTTTGGTCCCTGTTCTCCATACCAGTTCCGCCTACAGGGACCTGGAATATGGACCGGAGCCCGCACAGCTATCCTCACTCAGAGAGATCGAATCCTCAAACCCCTGAGAACACGTGTGCTCAAACAGTCTGAGGCTTCCTCTTGTAGTCTGTTTTGGATCAAAAGTATCTGCGTTGTCATTTGTCTCTTTATTTTCATGTTAGTCACCATATAGGTGATGCATTATTAACCTCATGTTGGCATAGGATTATGGAACTAGGGAAAAGCAAGACATTTAATCTACATACCTCAGCACCAATCTATTACATGGGGGGAAATGCTTATTTTCTGAGTAGCTCACATCTAGACATTCAAATGACAAAAAATATTCCAATGTAGTTTTCCTAGTTGCTTCATAAACAGTAAAGTTTGAAGATGCATTGCTTATTTCCATATTATTCCACAAGTAATTGGAAATGTCTTACAAGCAGAACAAAATATGATGTTAAAGAAGGTAAGAGAGGTAAGAGTGGGGCTCAAAATGCAGCAGTGATACTCACTGGACACTATGTTGAAAATGAACTATACAACTTGTGGGGGAAGGAGGTCAGGAGGGAACAAACTGGATGAAAATGAGGGAAGAGGTAACACTGTTCAAAAAGAAATGTACTATACTTATTACTCGACTTATGCAACTGTTACCCCTCTGTACATCACTTTAACAATGACAATAAAAAACATAGTGGAATTCAATAAACAGACAAAAATATGGAAAATTAAACCACATGTAAGACTCAAAATTGTATGGTCTTCAAGTGCTTCCTTCACATAACATATTCATTGCAAGGAGAACACATTTCTTTTCAATGAAAAATCTGACATCAGATTAGCCATCAGATAAGTTTCCCATCAATGCAACATCAACAGAAAATCTTGTAGTTCCTAATATGATCCAATAGGAAATTCAAAGTCTTTTATCTAGCATTGCTCCCAAAATGTTTAACTGCAATGTAATTATAAAGAATATGCAGAAAAAATGAAAGCACAAGATTTAAATATAGGTGAAACATTTTAGGAATTGTTGGGGAATTTTAAGATGTATGCTGAAACCATGGTTTCAGCATGAGTGGCTAATTGTAATAATCCTAGCTATTCACGAGGCTGAGTTCTGAGGATCAAGGTTCTAAGCCAACCCACAAGAAAATCTGTGAAACTCATTTCTCAAATTAACAACCACAAAACGCCCTAAATGAAGGTAACAATTAAGAGGTAGAGTCTAGCCTTGAGCAGAAAAGCTCAAGGACAGAGCCCAGGCCCTGAGATCAATCCCTAGGACCAGAAAAAGAAGATATATGCAAGATTACAAGGGGTATAATATCCTTCTTAATTTCTTCTTCTTATTTTCCAGTGTTTATCATTGTTAGAACATGTGATCACACATATAATCAACAAATAGGAATGTTTACATTTTTCTTTTCCCTTTTATATTTTTTTTAAATTTTCTATATCTGCCCTTATAGCACCGGCCAAAATTTCTAGTACTTTATTGAGTAAGAGTAGATCACGTGGAAACTTTAGCATGTTCCTGATTTCAGAGAATATCTTTTTATTTTTGCCTCAGTGTGATATTAATGTTTTCATAGTATTGTCTACTATGTGGACATATGGTCTTCCCATGCCTAAGTTATTCATTGCTTTTGTCATGAACAATTCTTAACTTTTACCATTACCCTAGAATGTAAAAAGGATCATATGAAAATTAAGTCACGTAGAAAGCAGTTGGCCAGCTAATTTCATTTCCAACTATAATAATGACACTGTACATTGAAATTGGTCATAACTATTTCCTCATAAAACATTATATTGTATCATGCCTAATTTGTGAGGTCATTTTACATTATTCAAGCAAGATACCAATATTGAAAATTTCTGTTTTTCCTAAATATTGTCCTATTTGTCTTGAACTAGGCCCATCTCTTTCTCCATGTAGGGTCAAAAATCTCTTTTCAGAACAAAAGCTAAAAGACAGGTTGATCTGAACAGTTCCCAATTTTCCACTTTTTATCATCATCAGATATTTCAGTTGGACCTTGAAACATGTTTTCCTAGTTAACATCTGATTCTACAAGATGAATCTGTAAAGACTGCAGTGTCAGTACTTTGACCTCGTGTTCCCCTCCTACACAGCTTTGCTTGTAGACAATATACCTCTTAGCATACCACACCACACCAATCACTGTCCCAATTTCATACATGTTAACTACCACTACTGTGAGTCTACTATTTTCTAAGAGTTGCTGTTCATGAATCTACATAGAAAAAGTATAGCCTCAAATGCATGTCAACTTTGGGTTGATGCGACTTCTAGGTCTGGAAGTAAGAGTGGCGAGAGAGAAGAAAAGGCTTCATAAGAGGCAGCCAAATTCCATCTTAACATAAAATTCCAGGTGGCATTGGTAATCACTAGTGTATCTTCTCTTCTCATAAGATGATATTCTGAAATATATTTTGGATGTAGTTCTTCATCCAGAAAGTGGTATTTTAATAATCAAATGTAATAACAAAAGCATACATAGAATATAATTTACCTTAAAAATCTTTAAGCTAGCCGGGCACTGGTGGCTCACGCCTGTAATCCTAGCTACTCAGGAGGCTGAGATCTGAGGATCATGGTTCAAAGTCAGCCCAGGAAGGAAAGTTCGTGAGACTCTTATCTTCAATTAACCACTAGAAAACCAGAAGTGGTGCTATGGCTTAAGCAGCAGAGTGCTCGCCTTGAGCTGAAGAGCACAAGGACAGCATCCAAACCCAGAGTTCAAGTCCCATGATCAACCAAAAAATAATCTTTAAGCTGCCTTGACTCAGACCTTTATTGAACAACATTTTATCAAAATCATCTTTAACTCTTCCTTCACCCCAATTCCCAAAACTGTAAGCCATGGGTAGGATCTAGATACATGTTTCTGGAAGCCTCAGATATCAAAGTCAGACTATCCTGGGTTCAAACCCTAGCTTTATCTCATTCTGCTAAGTATGCCTGACTAGAAGCTTCACCTAACCATGTCAATGAGTCTTCATCACGACTTGTGGATACCCACAAGTGGCTTCTGAGGACACAACAAATAAAGGTGAAGGAGCATCTTAGCACTGTGCCTTTTTAACTGTTACTTGCCATCACTACTACAGGTCACTACTGTATCTCTAGTCTCCTGAGGAAGTCAAGAATGCAGGCTGTACCTCAGCCTTTGACAAAACAGCAGTGTGGAACTGTGGAGACGGCATGAAAGGCAAACGCCTCTGAACTCAAGAAATGTGCCTGACCCTTTATTCCAGCCATATCAGAAACTTTACAAAGAAAATACTTTTAGACATTTTTAACTTCTCCAGGAACTCACAACATATGGAAATTACACATTCCTCTCTAAGAAATGCCATTTGTCCCTTATGAGTTCTCTCTCAAGTGATAAAGTATTACTAACCTTGGAAAAGGATGAAGACTTTCATCTCTTTCTTCATATCTCAAACTGAGCGCATAGCCTTATCATCTTAAGAAAACAGAGGCAATCAAGTAAAAGCTGAGATCTCAGTTGGGATATTTAACCTCAAATTTCAAGTAGTAAAGTTGATATTGAAAAGGGAACCCACACCGGACCCAGCTAGCATTCCTGGCCCCAGGTGGATGGGAAAATACCAAGCAGTACACGCTGCAAGGTGGGCATGTTGAGATTGGAGAGATCATGTGATTAGAGTAGATTGTAATTTTATAGCCTATTTGTAGTGCCTTTCGGAGCCTTGATTGTCTGGTTGCACTGCTGTATAGGACTAGAAAAGTGACTTCTGACAATTAGCTAAATAAGGTTATACCTCCTATCCCTACAGTGGTGCCTGATACCACTCAGGATCTGGGGGCAGGGGATGGAGAGGAATCATCCCTCCCTTGGCTCTGGAAAGCACTACTTTGCAACTGGATTTGAAAAGAAATTGCCTTCACTTGGGAGGGAAAACAGAAACATTCCAAGCATTTACACAGTCCTATTTGTCAGAGCATGGTATTTCAGAGCCTTACTTTGTTCTCATTCTCTACTGATATTACTGGTTCCACTACTTTGGTAATAGCATGTTAATTCTCTTCATATGCTTCAGTAAATTATCTGTGCACTCATCTATGTTTGAGAGGATAGTCCATCAACTCCAAAAAGATTCAGGACGGTGGGCTATACATGTTACTAAGTAGGAGTGGTCTACTTGGGTAAGTCTCATGTGATTCTTGGCATGGAATGAAATAAAATACAACGGCTCTTCATTTCCATCTCCTGAAGTTAAGCATCTGTAGGGCACCTGGGATATTAGCAGGTGTTTATTCCTCAGAAATCTCAATATCTATACTTACTATGTTGACCAATTAAGAAGAGAGATACAAAGACATGGATTTTCCACAGTAGGTAACATTTTACAAAACAAGAAGTTTGATAGTCCAAACAAGCATTTGATAGTCCAGGTCCAGACTTTGAGCATCATTCTACCAGACATGCCCATATAGTTACATGTCATCAATATAACAAAATTATTTGTGCCCTCTGACATGAATAAGACGAAAGATAACCATTATTTTGGTCACAGCTCTACAAGGGGCTGAAACTTCAAATAAAAACCTGAGGAATCACAGCTCTAGCAGTGTGCAATTCAATACTTTAGGAGTCACAATGAAAACTGGCCTACAAAGGGGTGAATAGATGGCCTATTTCATCAATGAAATCTACTACAGTATCGACCTCTGATCTAAGTGGCCTTCTCTGTGTTCAGTGATGAGCTTGGTCACCTATGGAAGTGTCTCACCCCCCCCCCAAACCAGGTGGCTGTCTAGTATCTATGATCTCCTGCAAGTGAGGTGATCCATATATAATTGGGCCACAGAGACAGAACCTTCATATCCATACTACTGGTGCAATACAACCCTTCACCACTATTATTGGGTCTGAGATGGGAAAAAAATCATAGCAGCCAATGGATAAATGTGGGTGGTATAGAGGGTAAGAACTCATGAGCCAGTAACTGATAGTACTGATGATTAGGCAGTGCACTAAGGGATTGAGGACAGTAAGTGGAATAGGTGCTTTTTTCTGGCAAAAGAAAAAACTGATAGTAGAAAAAAGTAATCACAAATACCAGCTTTACTTATGTGACCAATTATAGAAATTAGTACCATATTTTCCATAAGTATTTCTTGATCATTCC